CACTGATCTAACATTTACATCGAAGACTCTCGCACCTTCTTTTCTCTCTGACGACCAGTGAGAGCTGGCTGTGCCGCAAGAACGACATATAAGCACCATTTTCACGGCAAGTCCAAGCCTTGTGTCCCGGTCCACAGCGAGGTCTTGCTCATGGCAAATTGGGCAGAGTGTTTTCCCAATCATCGCGTTCAGAGCGGTCATCTGCATAAGCACGTATTCTTCTTCTGGCGCAGGCGTAGTTTCGCGTTCCTGAGACGCTGTCAGTGCGAATTTCCGCTCAGTTGCCGACATCGCGCCGAGCGACTCGCGAACTGTTGTCGACTGCGCCTCTGCCGTTTGCGCGAACAGAAAGCTTGGTTGAATATGCCCTTGAATGGTACGACACTCGCCGAGTAAAGTCTCGTTATCACTCCGTTGATTTACGGCGTCTGCTGACGCACCTGTCATTTCCGCATCGATCGTTTCACCGTCATGTTCAACAGCCCGATCTCGGTTAGGCGAGCAGGCAGCCTCACCTTGATGCGTGATAACATCGATAAGCATGCCTTCAGTTGATGACTCTGACACGCACCTGCGTCGCACCACCTCTGCATTGTCCGCTGGGTTGCGATAACTTGTTGACGGCTGAGGATCCAGGGTGACTTGGTTATCGCCGACTGACTGCCGACTTGTTGGGCATTTTTGCGAATGCCGTGGAATAGGCAGTCGGCGCTTCCGTTTCCTGCGAAGCGTGCGATCCATCGCCGCAAACCACGTGCAAAGCTTTTGAAGAGCCTCCTCGGCACAAAGAGCTGCGTCGGTCGTGCGTCCGGCAACTTGCGACTGTTCAAGCAGAAGGCACGGGAGAACTCGACGATCGGGGGGCTGCGCAGAACTATCGTCTCGTGAAGATGGTTTGCACGACAGTGCCGAGGCCAATCGCAAAAGACGAAGAAGCACACGGAGAACGTTTGCAACGAACAAGTCGGAGCAGACAACAAGCCGCGCAGCCGGCGCGGCAGCCGCACCATGCGTGGGAGATGAGCACGTGAGCGCGCGCACCAGCCAATAGCAACCACTCGTTTCCCCTCGCTCCGAAGGAGCGCGCGCTCCGTCCAATTGTAGCTCCGCGTTTGAAAAGCGGGAAACTCGAATACCTCGTGCGCTACCCAATCGCAAGCCAGTTACGCCTCGACCACGCCGTTGTTGTCACCGCTGATGGCGGGGAAAAAAAAGCAAGAAATCACGAACAAAACGTGACCAAGATGGCGGCGCTCGGTTGAGCGGGGGAGAAACGGCGTGCACGCGAAGTTAGGGTATTTTTGACGATCACGCGCTCCTCAGGTGCTGCCTCGGCTAGCTAAATATTTTATTTGAGGTACTTTTAGCGCGAATTCGGCGCTGATATTTACAGAGGAGGTAGTTTATAGATTATACTGACCAAATATACTGTTTTCTAAAAATGGACTTTTTTGACATTTTTTCGGTTTTCGAAGGCCGCGTCCCCCCTTAAACGGACTGGTGCCGGCCGCTGCTTCAAATTATCCACTCAAACTTGCATAGCAAAATACGGGACCGCAGAAATCCTTCGAATGAAGTGAGATTTCAAAATAACCGAGTTCGACTTAACGAGGTTTTACTGTATTTGAAAAGTATAGCCAAGGCCTGGTGTGGCTCGGTGGTCTAATACTTCCTTGCCAGACAGAACGCTAGGGTTAGATTTCTGCTGGGACAGTGACATTTATTGTTTGCATTCGTCCAGTCTACGCTGCCTATGGTAGCTTTTTCTTAATGCTCAAGAATTAGATTTAACCATGTGTGTTCTTGCCGTTCCTGGGTAGATATAAAACGTCTATCACCGGTGGGACATACCCGCATACCAGTGGCACATACCCGCCCATGGGTATGTGCCACTGTTCTTCAAAAAATGTTTGACGATGTACACGACGAGGCTGCGACATTATTCATGTCATGATCAGCGAATCCTATTCGACAAACCATCTTGACCTCCCGTACTAATTATGGTATACCCCAAGTTAAGAGGGTGATCATGAGAGCACGCAGATGTAGGCAGCTAGATGGGTGCGTGGGTAGGTAGGTACAGCCGCCGATTTTTCAGACCTGGCGGGGACCAAAAAAAAGGCCGGAAAAATTTTTTTTGTCAAAAATATGAACTTTATTGCATCAAGCAGGCTTAAAAAATCCATAATTCTGCCTTGCCTCATACTACGCTTGGAAGCAATTCGGTTCGCCCGTATTTGTGCCAAGGTGACATCTTCACCGTAAATGCTAGACAAAAGCATCACCGCAGTGGCAATCTCCGCCGCCGACGGCTGCGGCACAACCTGGTGAAGAATTTATTCATCTGTGGGCTTCGCGCAAAAAACAATGTCATTGTTTGCGCAATGTCATCGTAGCAATGTCATCGTGGCAGGCACCAATGTCATCGTGGCAGGCACATCCGCGCCACCGCTGCGCAGGTCGCGCATTAGCTCCTCCCCGCCATCGGAGTCGTACGGATCGCCTATGTCCAGGTCATCCGCTTCGGAATCTTCGGCAGCAACAAACCCATGTTTAAAGCAATGTGTATTGGTGTCTACTTTCACCGCCTTCCAAGCTTCGGCCAACATATGGATGGCAGCCAGAATGTCTACCTAGCAGGGCTTCCCATTGTCAAGGCGCAAGACAGTGCGGCTGAGCAGGTGGGCACAGTAGTGTGCCTTGATGTTTCGGATCATGCTTTGATTCATTGGCTGGAGCATGCTTGTGGTGTTAAGCGGCAAAAATTCCAACCAAATGGCCTCAAGGTTCAACACGCTGCCGTGTGCGCCACAGTTGTCACCAAAAAAATATGACTTTCCTGCCTTGCCACACAAACTTTCAGTCAAGTTTGTATAGAAATTTTTCAAATAAAGACTGTGATTCATTCCTTGGAGCTACTGTCGTAGTCCATAGGGAGGGTCTTCACCACCTTAAAACACCTGGGATTTCTCGCCTTCCCGATGACAAGAGGAGGCAGTTTTTCTGTACCAGTGGCATTGGCACCTACTGTTACTGTTAAGCGCTCCTTGTTAAGCTTCCCGCCGGAGCATGATTCTCCCGAAAATGATAGCGTATGGTCCCGGAATATCTTAAACAAAAGTCCTGTCTCATCGCAGTTGAAGATGTCCGAAGGAGCGTATTCTTTAAGCAAGGATCTCAACTTCGTGACACGGTAATCGGACACAAGAGTCTGGTCAACCACTCCGCTTTCACTGCTCACTTTCTTGAACAGAATTCCATACATCTTCTTGAAGCCGCGAAGCCATCCGTCAGTGAATATAAAATCCTCAATGCCCATTTTGAGTGCAAACGAGTCGGCTTTTTCCTTCAACAAATCGCTCAACATGGGCAGGTTCTTTGCCAACACTCCTTTTAACCACAACTGCGAAGCATCTTCAAGGGCTGGATGTACGCCTTTGCTGTTGTTTTTCTGGCTCTTGTTGTATGAATTCTCAAACGCTGTCAAAATCTTCATACAGTTTTTGACATAGCCGGATACCGTTCGCTTTTATAGGTGGTATTTTTTGGCGACATCAAGCTGTGACCGTCCACTTTTCCAACTTCACAATTGCAGCTTTCTTCTCCAACATCATGGTCGTAAAGTTTCCATGCTTTTTCGCACCACCTGGCTCTCGCGATGGTACAGATGGTGGAGCCATGGCGTCGAGCTCGAGCACACAAAATTCGATGCCGCAGATAGCCGCCGCGAACCACACATCTCGATACGACCCGACAGAGCACGTGCTAAATGATGACTGGAACAAGCTGGCAAGCTGCAACTGCTGGGAAAAATAATCTTTACTCTGCCTCCTTTACAGCCTCTGAAACTTGAAATATGACGTTCGCTTTCCAATCCCGAAGGCAGGAAAGTCATTTTAAAACTAAGTCACCAAGCTAAGTCAAGCCGGCAAAAAATCTCGCATGGCGGTGTCATTACAAGTTCGTGGCGCGGCTCAACACAAGTGATTTAGTCCGAAAAATCCAACTTTCGGGGACGAAATTTGTCTGAAAAATCTGTTGAAAAAATGTATTAGCCCTATGGGAACCATGACGGTGCTTTATTGAAGTCCGAAATATCCAAGAAGTTCGAATTTTTTTAGTCCGAAAAATGATTGGCGACTGTAGGCTAGGCTAGGCTAGGCTAGGCTAGGCTAGGCTAGGCTAGGCTAGGGTAGGGTAGGGTAGGGTAGGGTAGGTGGGTAGATGGGTAGGTAGGTAGGTGGGTAGATGGGTAGGTGGGTAGATGGGTAGGTGGGTGGGTAGGTGGGTAGGTGGGTGGTTAGGTGTGTGGGTAGGTGGGTAGGTGGGTAGATGGGTAGGTAGGTGGGTAGGTGGGTAGATGGGTAGGTAGGTGGGTAGGTGGGTAGGTAGGTAGGAACGGATGAATGGACAGATGGACAGACAGACATTGCTATTTTATAAGAGTATGCTTAGGAATCCCTTCGAATTTTTTTCCTTGCAATTTCATTTCGGAATATTTGCAAAATGTTCTAGAAATATTCAATTTGATTTGCTAACACTTCAATATTCGAATTCACTTTGCACCCAACATTTGAAGTCATCCTTGCAGATGAGCTTGTGAGGGTGGCCGAGAGAGGGCGTTTCGTGACGACGTCATCATCATCGGGACTTGGCCGAGAGAGGGCGCTACGTGACGGCGTCATCATCATCATAATTGGGACTGGAGTGGGGGGGGGTTGCGTGTGTGGGGAAGGGGGAGTTCGGCCTGGTTGGGAAGAGTGGCAAGACGTAGCGGTGTGTGGTGCGTGATTTAGGGTTAGCGCGTGACAAGCTCTGTGCTGCCAGCAGAGATGTTGTAACCCTAATCAAATAATCGTGCATTTCTGATTTATCAGAAATGTAACTGTCGAAAAGGGAATGTGTGGTGTCCATAGTACAGTACTGTGACATTGTTTGCAATTGTTGTGCTTGCGGAATTTCGATGAGAACTTATCCTTTTCTATTTCTCGTTTTTCCAGATATGAGTCTGCTGCGGAGGAGTATGCAGCCATCCTCAAAGACGACGCACAAACATCAAAGGAGATTCGGCCATTTTTGCTCAACCAGGCAAGTTTTGGCAACACTGTGCATTGTTAATATTGCCTTCTGGTTGAAAGGGTAATCACTATTTTCTTCGGTGTAACGGGAATGTGGTGAACTGTGCATTAGTGGCTGTTCTCAACCTATTCTTAAAACTTGGAAGTTTGAGCGGACAGTTGATGAGCCGAGAAGATTGCTTATTGCTCTCTTGTTTATGCTTTGTCATTGAGCAGCTTGATTGACAGTTGAAGATGGCTTAAGAGACGCAGTTTGTTTTGAGAAAGGTGACTAGGGTTTTTCAGTAATATAGACATAAACACCCAACGGCAAGAGTTTACAGCATGTTGGCTCTACAACAAATACAAATTTTTGCTCTGTTAGTGTGTGATGCTTCAAATCAAGCTGGTGACATGAATAGGGGGCACAGTACCATCTACAAACGGGAATGCTTATTTCAAGGTTATGTTCTTAGACAAAGCATGAATATATATCTGTAAAACATGCTGCAACTCGCAGACTTTTGCTGTTGGCTGTACTTTTGTCACTCTAGCAAAGGTAAGTGTGCCAGTTGGTATACAGGTGGGTGTCATCATCATCATCAGTATGACTACGCCCACTGCAGGGCAAAGGCCTCCCCCACGTTCGACCAGTTAAGCTGTGCTTGCTTGCTGCTGCCACGTTGTACCTGCTGACTTGTCAATTAGTCTGTTTACCTAACTTTTTGTCGCCCCCTGACGCATTTTTAATCTCTTGAAAACCAGTCGGTTACCCTTGATGACCAGTGGTTGTCCTGCTATGCGCTACATGCCCCGCATATGTCCATTTCTCCTTCTCGATTTTAGCAAAGGTGTCCTTAACACCTGTCCCTGAGCCCCTGTGTTCTCTTTCCATTTCTTAGGGTACCACTTATCATTTTCCTTCCATTGCTCAGTGCATTGTCCTCAATGAAGTTGAACGCTCTTAGTAAGCCTCCAGGTTTCTGCACCTGGCGTCGTGGCCTGTAAAAGAAACTCCACCCTCCACGTCTGGTCACACTAGAGGGACGTTCAGTTAGTTCATCATAATGTGGCATTATGTCAACAATGTTTATCACATCTTGGGTGCCATGTCACCGCCTGCAATCGCATTATGGTGGCTGTCTAGTTGTTGTCATGGCTTGGCTGCGTAACAACTGTCATATTGGGTGAGGACATCCGTTTATGATGGGGAGGTGGGTGGTTCCCCAGTGCACAGTAGAAATCAGCGTTTTGTGTGTGCATGTGTACTGCGGGTGTGAGTGGTTGTTGGAGCATGATGCCTGGACATTAGTACTGTGGGAGCTCTGATCTGACATCATGGCTGCGGTATCAGCTCTGTCAACACGACAACTATCTTTCGGATGACGGAGCTGATATCTCAGCCGTGATGTCCTAGCTCTTCTCTGTCTTTGCGAACGCGAGGCGCACTGTTCACTACAGTTAGTGCCTTGACTCGGGAGAGTTGGTTCGTGCTCAGAGGTTCATACGTGCACGCAGACGGTTCACGTCTGTGTGTGTCTGCACCTACGTCACGCTGCATTTCTCCGAGAAACCAGACTACTGTCTGCTGTACTTTTCTGATTCTGCTTCTGTAACTTTATTGTGTCCTTAGATCCTGGACTGTCACATGAAGTTGGCCGACTGGAACGAAGCGCTCAAGTGGGTCGAGGATTCTCGACACGCACCAGTCAACGGCTGCATCAACAAGCCCAGTGCCCGCATGTCCTCTATCGCCCAGCACATCAGGTAGCTTCCTGTCAGCCCTGCATGGAGATGCGCTGTATATGTGCTACACAAGAAAACCACTGATGCATTGCTCACTTTTATGTTATCACGCATATAACGTTCCTAGTGTATGGTCCCAGTGAGTAAAGAATCCACAAACACGTACCATATTTACTCGAACCTAACATGCTCCTTCGTTTTCCGATGAAACAAATCCAAAAACTTTCTGCGCATTAGTACTGAACAGATCTTTTTCTGCTTGCCATGCAATGGCAAACCAAGTTTTGCAAGTTCCCCAAATTCAGCGCAGTGCCCTACTCTTTTTTTACGTACGTATATAACCCTGTTGCACTGTCCGCCATTCTAAGATAAACTAAGTTACCTCTGCTTCACACGATATGTAGACAGAGTGCTTACAATAGATATTTTTCTACCTTAGTCCCCATGACGCAATTTGTTTCAAGGTTAGCCGCAATGTTATGTCGATGTCCGTTACTGCTGTTACTAATAGCAGTAATTACTGCATCTTTTCTGTTGCATATTGCCATAATTTTCTTGGTGATTATTATCTAATTTCTCAACTTTCCATTCTCATTGGATAATTGCAATGGGGATTGACGGGAAATGTAAATATAAGCTCGCAGAGTCTCTTATGCATTTTGCCGAAGACGACTCAAAAGTCAGAGTCCTGTCCTTTTTTGGGGCGAAGATTGGGCCACTTTTGGGCTAGCGAAAATTTTATGTAAGCAGGTGGCGTCATGATGTTGCAAATTACGGCTGTGTGGCGGCACAATGTTGTCATCACTAAATAATTTTCTTCATCACTCGCATCGACACTGACGGTAAATTTTCACGTTTGATGACGCATCTCCAGCTTTTGCCTTGAAGGGCCAGTGGACAGGCTTTGATTTTTGACAGCTCCTAAACAAACTCATTGATTTGTGCAGAAGGCTGCAGCAATCACATTTTCGGAACACCTCAGTGCTGCACTCCGCGCAGACCTCTCTCCTACTCACGACCAGACATTTTCGCCCACGCAGTGACGTTATCTTGCCCATGGTCAACATTGCGTATTGCCAATACTGTGAACAGGTCCTTTGCACTATGAAATGCCGCCTTGGCCTAGTGGTGATGCAGTTTTGACTGTCTTGGCCCACACAGTCTAGATTTTGATTTTCTTGTACGACCCTCTATCATTTCGGTAGAGCTCCGAGATTACTGGAACATGCTGTATTGCCAGAACGAAAGCCTCGAAGATCAAAATGCGTCCCGCGACTTTACTGCGTGGCGAAGGTGAATGCTTCGTGGTATATTTATTTCTCTTTGCACCTCTCGCACCGCGCCTCCTCAGCACACCACCCTAACACGAGCGGCACATAGCAGAAGCATTGCTACGTGCATCATTAGTGTGCAGCCAATGCTATCATTGGCTGCACACTAATGATGTGAATCGCTGACATCATGTTACGTTGCCGAAGTGCGCACAGTGACTGCGAAGGGCTGTGGCTATGCTTCTTGTACCAAGGAGGATGGCACGGTCAATCAAGAAACCGTAAGCAGCTGTAATGGGTTGTGCTACACCCTGTAATTTTTCTTGTTAACACACTTTATCGTCAAATTCCTGTGGCACAGAGTTGACATCTCACAAATGTTCTGTTATCTCTCTGTGACAAATTTTTGACAAGGTAATCTCCTGGCTGTTTTTAATAAATGAAATAAATAAAATCATCTGCAGGTCGCTGCTGAGCACAGACTCCGTCGAGAGCCCATCCTGCCCGCGAGACATGTGGGACGCAGAGCAGCAGCTGCTGTTGGCCCAACACCGCGCAACCATGCCTGCATGCTGTCGGGACATCAACGCATCCGAGGAGTCTGCCACTGCACTGCTGCAGCTGAGCACCATCCAGTGGCCACCCCAGGTGGACCCTGCCCTGCTGGCCCTGGTGCGCCGGGTGCCGCCGGTGATTGGTGAGCCTCTGTCACCCGCACAACACGACTGCAGCGCCATCAGCGAAGCCCTCACGTGGAGCCACGCCGAGCCTATCGAGGGGTGAGTTGTGACGCGTGTGCTAGCGTATCTGAACAATCAGAGTATTCAAGAGCCATTACCCTGTTGAGAAATTTTTTGGCAAGCAAGTCTTCGCATGTATATACTTGACCTACTATGTTCCTTTCTTTAGCAGTTTCTTTCTATGTGTTTCTATATCCGGTGGAAGTGATACTGCTCCAATTCGTTGTGGGCATGGGTGCAGGGTAAAGCCTGCCCAGCTGGCACCATGCCTGATAACTTGCATCACCCATATCTTTTTTTCATGTTTTCCGTTTTGCCAAGCATCTTCTTAGATAAGGTACACTGCTTTAGGTGTACTGTGAAAGGGAGGTTATCTTATAGAAAGAAAAACGAAAGTGGAGATACCCAATGTGCCATCATCCTTTTGCACTTTCGTCAAGACTTAGCGTACATTACCAAATCCGTATTATAAGTTGCTCTCTTAGTGCATACTTTGTGTGGCGCGCAACTTCTCATGCAAGGAGAATGCTGAAGCGGAAGTAGCAATGCTTTGCCAGCTGCGTGCGAAATTGATTGACTTGCTGCAAGGCAAACGTGTGCAGATGCGCATCACCGATTACTTTAACGGATGTTCTGTGATTTGTGAATGCCGTAATTACTCGAATCTAGCGCGCACCTTTTTTTCCGGTGAAGCGAGTTCATAAATCCCATGCGTGTTATAATCGAGTACGAAAAAAAAAATGAATACGGTCATTCTATTGCCATCGGCATATTCCAAAATGGCCGCCCCCTACGTGCGTCGGCATGGCGCGTCGGCCATTTCTGCCTATGTGTTTCCCATGTGCAGCACTTCGTACGTGTGCTGAGGAGTTCGTCATCTTGGTGTGCATTAGCATCGACGGCATGGAAGGGTCGACTCCAAAAACATGACAATTGCACCACGATGCCGCTTTTAAAAGAAAAGTCATCGCGTGTGCCGAAACGGATGTAAATCGGGCTGCATCGCGGTCGTTTGGAGTTCCCGAAACGTGCGTGCGGGACTGGCGGAAACGAAAGCAGATTATTGTCGACAGCAAAGATTCACGCAAAGGCTTCAGTGGACCACAGCAGGGTCGGTTTCCGCAAATTAAAGAGCTGCTCGGTGAGTATGTGCTTGAGCAGCGAGCGGCACAGCGGCCCGTGACGACAGAACTGCTCCAAGTGCGGGCTATGCAATTAGTCTTAGAAAAAGGTCTAATGCGCGGAGCCAGTTTAAAGCGAGCAGGTGCTGGCTAACTAACTTTACGAAGAGGAAAGGCTTTTACCTCTAAAGGCGAACGGGCATATGCCAAAAGTTGCCGGAGGAGTACGAAGAAAAGCTTCAGTTTTCAGAGGTTCGTCCTAAACTTGCGGCACAACAATGGCTTCTTGCTTGAGCAAATCGGGAATGCCGATCAGACGCCTCTTTACTTCGACATGCCTGGCACCACAATCGTCGAGAAGGGGGTGAAGCAAGTTCGCGTGCTGACATCGGGCCACGTAAAACTCGAGTGACGGCAATGCTCCGTTGCACGTCAGATAGGCACAAGCTTCCCCCGTACCTCATATTTAAACGGAAGACGCTCCCGAAAAGAGTCTTTTTCCCGAGTGGTGTGATCGTGTGTGCCAACGAGAAAAATGGGTGCACGTTGCAATCGATGTCTTACTTCTTTTTTTTTTTTTTTTGCCGTGGACTGAGCTGCACAACGTGGGAGCGGCCCGCGATTCTACCCCTATAAAACGGGGGTGGAATCCTTCAGGACCCCAATAAAAGTTTTTCATCCATCCATTTTGCCGTGGAAACCGGGTGTGCGTTACAATCAAGGGCGCAGTAGAATCGAGTAAATACGGTAAATGTAAGTCTTCTGAAACTTCCCCCTCGTGTGTTAGCTCAATGCACATGCATCACTGCTTGGAAAGCCCTCTGTTTATTTAGCTTTTATTAATTTGAACTTCTTTTAATTCGAACAAATTTTCGGGCCCCTTTGAGTTCGAATTATCGAGATTTGACTGTATAACATGACCCAACATAGATCAGACGAAGGTGCAAATAGACAACCCCGCCAAAATATTGCTGCCATCTTGAATTTTGGTGCCGTTCTGAGATAGCGCTTCCCTTCCCCACCTTACTGGAAATGTCGACTTCGATGAGGGGAGAGGGGGGTGCTTGATTGGAATTTTACAATAGTGTTAGAAATGTACATTTGTAGGCAATTTTCAAATATAACAAGCCTTATTTCGTGTAAGATGCAACTTTGTTAATATGAGGTTTGAGTGCACTTCGACTGTTCATTTCCCGGGCATAAATTTGCCCATGAAAGAGTTTCGCTTTTAATTAACAGCCCTACTACTGCCTCCTTTATCATCACAACCTTGTGACAACATTCTTTCCTTTGTGTGTCTCATTTTATTTGGGGCCTGTCCCAGGTTCCTGTTGGCTGGGGCTCGTCTGGCTCGCAAGCAGCACAACTTGCGACTGGCTGAACGCTGGCTTCTGCGGGAGGCCGGCAGTGATGAGGAGGGTTCGTCCCTGATCACGCTGGCCGACGACGGCGCCCCCTTGGCCATCCTGAGGGAGGCTGCGAAGTTGCTGCACGCTCGGGGAGAGTTGGTCGAGGGTGCAAGGATAATGGCCCGTGTGGCCTGGACGCACGCCACCAGTTTCGAAGACTCGGAACTGGTTGCCAGGTAATGTTCAGAATCTGATTTTCTCATTGTTTGTGAAGTTGGCTGGTACTTCCCTGTTTAAAGGGATACTGAATGCAATTTTTGCTGCCAAGATTTTCAACCAAATTGCAAGATTGGGTCACCAAATAGATAGAGACGGCCTTTATTCCAGGCATAAACTGCAGGAAAATAATGAATTTAATAGATATTGCACGAACTGGCGCCTCTAGCGGCCGCTCCGTAAATGAGAGGAGGCAATGTCACATGCGCCCAATAAACGGGCAACTCAACAATAGTAGCCGTCACCCGCGTCTCTCAAGCCACTTATCTCCACCATCGGTTTCAGCAGTGAACAATGCTCCCGGCTGGGGCAAAGCATCAGCGGTTTTGTGGAAGACAAAAAGCGGGATGATAGGAGAGATGGAGAAAAGGAATAGGAAAGCAGGAACACGTGCTTTCTCGGAAATAGTGACGTCACAGCTTGTGCTCACGTGCAGGCACCACATGCTCACACTTCACCAAAAATACAGCCAACTGTTAAAAAATACGGGAAGTTAACTGTTTATAGGAACAGTCACATCTTTTATATAGAATTATGAAGTTTCGTCAGTTCTCTTCAATTTTTGTTCATTATCCCTTAGGTAGGAGAGTGATTGCTGGGAATGGGGCAGTTAAGGATCAAAGGCTGAATTCTTTGAGAGAGTACTACGAATAATTAATGGCTGCACATTTTATTGGCATACCCAGGCGACACTTGAAGGTGCTCTAACCAAGTTTAAATTTTGTGAACTGAACATCTTGGATGCTCTAGAAGCGTAACAAGCAGGTATGTCAGTCATGTTGCACCTTTATCATAAATTGGCCCACTTATTTGAGTCCTAATGCTTAGTTGCTTCTTTACAATAATTTTTCGGAGAATTCAGATCGCTCTGAAGCAACCACCCCAAATGTGTCAATAAAGGTTTACGAAGTGTTAGCACAGTTTAAACACAGTTATATCACTTGCTTTGCGCATGGTCAGAGAAGGGCACTAACTGCGAGGCGTTTGGTGCTCAAAAACTGTTTCAACCCATTGGGTAGTCACAAAGTAGGTACAGTCGATAATTCGAATTTGAAGGGGCCCAAAAATTTGTTCTAATTACAAGAAGTTCGAATTAATGAAAGCTAAGTAAACGGGGGGCTCCCCATGCAGTGGCGCATGTGCATTGAGCTAACACACGAGGGGGAAGTTTCAGAAGACTTACCGTATTTACTCGCATGATCCTCGCAGTTTTTTGGGTGGAAAACTGATGCAAAGTTTGGGGGTGCGAGAATTATGCAGGGAAAACTTTCCACGAAAACGTACAGAGCAAAAAAGAAAACGAAGTGGCCGTAAGGTCAGATTCTCACGCCAGAGCAATAAAAGCACAGGTTCAACACGAGGCAACATTTATTTGAGACACAAAAGGCGCATTCAAATAGTCGAGAACTAGAATACCGTACGCAAAGCTTGTGGGCATTGCGGGCGTAGCGGTAGCGTTCGTGACTCAACAGGAGTCATCAGAGTCGTCTTTAGCTCTAACTCCGCTGACAGCGGGACTGCGGGGGCAGGAACGACGCGGTATCGCGCTCTTGGCGACGTGCTGCTTCTTCACAAGAAACGAAGCACATCACTCGCTAGCTCCTCTGAACCACGTACGGGTACTTTATGCATTGGCAGTGGACCACACAGTCAAGCTCCTCACCCCCCCCCCCCCCCCCCTTCATTCACTGCCAAGGATTGCCCGAAACAGCAGCTAGCAGTTTCACGCGTCGTCACTCGAAAATATGATGCCGAGCACAGTGCGCGACGATTTTTTTTTGTCGTCCTAATTACACATGTCGCGCATTGTCACCGAACGCCGCCGGCAAGTTCATTACGCGCCGGCTGCACTGTCCACGTGGCCACGCACGCCACGGTCATACGGAGTGCTGTCAGTAAGCTTTTGTGATGCGATTTAGACATGTGTGATGCAATTTAGACATGTGTAATGCGATTTAGACGTGCTTGGTATCACCACGAACGTCTATGAATGTTCTGAGGCAATGAAAGCATCATAGATTCGCGTTTCCGCGACCGGATGTATGATATGATGCGTTTCACCGCTAGAGTGGCAAAAGAGCATGTATGAATCAGGGGCACGAATTTTTATATGCCCGTTTCGCGTCATTAAATGTACTGCTATAAATTCCTGTGCCCCCAGTTTTCTGCCCATAACTTCGTTATTTGGAAAAAAAGGCATAGGCCGTCATGGTGTGATCCATTTTTCAGATGCAATAAACCTCTATCCAAATAGAAATATGTGTAATCATTTCAGTACATGGTCTTATTCAATTACAATCTTTTGACATGCCTATCACACTACTCCATACAAAGAACTTAGTTTGAAATTTATACTTGTTCTTTGTAAAACACGAAAAGGAGGTTTTGGGGGGAAAAAAGGGCAACCAAGGCACACTGGTCAGAGACCAGATACCTGAGAAGTCAAGTATCACAAGACAAACCTAAGATCACAATCCCTAGGTGTTTTCAAGACGTAAAAAGAAGTTGAAACTTTAAATGCAGTTTTCTCAATACTGTTTTTCTGGCATTGTGCTCAGCTCGTGGAGCAGATATCTGGGCAACCACTGTACAGATATTGATTCCCTTTATTTTGTAATGCTCCTTGAACTGTGCTTCAGGGGGCTGCGATCTTAGTTTTTTATTTTACTCCTTAAAGAATTTTTTATAGGATTTCTTGTTTGTAGTGCAAGTGTGCTCACTGCAGTGTCACTGGAGAAAACATTAACTACAAGTTTTAGTGTTGCAAAAAAATTATTTTGAGAACAAAGCCCCCTTCAACATACATTTGGCTGTGCATACAGTAATTACCAACTATTTTTGTCATTTTACAGTGAAATCCCGTTATAACGAACCTCAGATTAACGATTTTTTCAGATTAACGAATATTTCGGAAATCCCCTTCCAAATGTCCATTGGTTCAATGTAAAAATATTTCACTACTACGAATTTCTTTCAGAATAACGAATGTTTCAGAATAACGTATCAAATTTTATCACCCTGGTACCTTAAGAGCACTTCAAAATAACGAATTTCTAGCGTAAAAATTACGTGCGGCGGTCTAAATGCCCAGCGCCATATGTGGCACTATCATCATCATCAGAGCTCCTGCTCATTTCTCCATGCGTTGCCTTATGCTAAATGCGCACTAGCCTGGCTAGCCCTATCGCCATCGCCAGTACCTTGTTTTCGATGTTTTTTTTTTTTTTTTTTTTTGCATGCTCGTTGAGCCAGGTTGAGCCTAACCTCGCCGCCTTTGTTTTGTTACGTCGACCGGCAACGTCGCACGATTGTCGTACGGCTTTCTCGTTTTAAAGGTTAGAGTGATTCGTTTCTGCGTTCGCGATGAGCTCCGGAAGCAGCGCGAAAAAGAAACGGAGGCAGTTTTCTTTGAAAGAAAAAGTGGATATTCTTTCTCAAGTGGACGCCGGTAAAAAACAAATCCACATTGCGAACGAGATGGGGGTTGCACCATCAACTGTCGCAACCATCCTGAAGGACCGACAAAAGATCCTCGAGCTGCACCGAGGGTCCCAACTCGCACCGTCAAGAAAACGGCTCCGACTTGGGAATTTCCAAGAAGAGGATGCTGCAGTACTGACTTGGTTCAAGGACGCGCGTTCTCAAAATGTGCCGCTGTCGGGACCCATGCTGCAGGAAAAAGCCCGGCAATTCGCTGATGCTTTGGACATCACAGGCTTCGAAGCAAGCGCGGGGTGGCTTCATCGTTTCCGTGAAAGGAATGGAATCGCCTGGCAAGTGGTGTCTGGTGAAGAGAAGGCGGCAGACGCAGCAAGCGCTGCTGCATGGAGGGACGAGAAGTTCCGCGAAATCGTCGCTTCATACTCCGAAGATGATATATTCAATGCGGACGAAATGGCGTTCTTCTATCAAATGCTTCCTGATAAAACCATGCATTTTAAAGGGAACAGCTGCAAAGGCGGCAAGCAGTCCAAAGTCCGGATTACGGTATTGTTATGCTGCAATTCCACAGGCACCAAGAAGCTGAAGCCCTTGGTGATCGGCAAATACAAGAAGCCTCGCTGCATGAGGAACGTTGTTTCATTGCCGTGCGATTATCGGGCTAATTCACGCGCGTGGATGACACGAGAGTTATTCTCTGAGTGGCTACTAAAGGTGGACGATGAGATGAGGAGCGCAGGTAGGAAAATCCTGATTATCGCCGACAACTGCTCGGCGCATCTTGTTAATGTCAGGCTGACAAATGTACAGCTGGAATTCTTGCCTCCGAACTGTACGTCCTTGCTCCAGCCACTGGACCAAGGCATCATAAAAAGTGTCAAGGCCCATTACCGGACATGCCTGGTTCAGCGATTGCTGATAAATCTTCGGATGAAGCTGCCTACCTCCATCAATGTGCGACAGGCCACAGAAATGGTTACCGGGGCCTGGTGGAGCGTTACATCAACCACCATCCAGAACTGCTGGAGGAAGGCAGGCTTGGTAGTAATGCCATCTGAATCTGAACAAGGCAGCAAAGAAAGCGACGCGAGTGGCATGTGGCAAGAAGTCGTCGAAAGACTCGCGATGGATGCCTCGGTGACGTTCGAGGACTATGTGCAGTGCGACGACGAAGCATGCACGTCAGCCGAACTGACGACCGATGACATCGTCAGTGCTGTTCGTGGTGATAACAGCGACGAGGACGCCAATGGCGAAGACGACGCTGAGACCGCGCCCGTTAGCCAACCAGAAGAATCGCTTTCCAAATAAACGTGCGCTCATTCCGGAATACTTCGCGTTTTGTTTCTTTTCACGCTCGTCATAAAATCAAGCGTTTGCGGATGTGTACACAGCAAAGGTAGGCGACTCCTTTTGTTGCATTTACGATTTTTAATGCGAATTTTCGATGTTTTCACTATAACGATATTTCAAAATAACGAACTATTTTCCGCGGTCCCTTCAAATTCGTTGTATCGAGATTTCACTGTATAAGTCCTCCAGCCCCTCCACGAGGTTCAATTCAAAAATAATTTGTCTCTCATTAAGTATTTGTGCTATCGCCTCGAAATTTTTATGGATGCACGGTGAGGCCATTCTTAGTGTCTGTGCCAATTTTCATCATCATCCAACCAGAAATAAGAAAGTCCATTGTCAAAGGCATGTCCCCCCTTTACAGAATCGTCCGCAGTGACCTTCTAAAGAAAGAAAGTTTACCATCAATCCCAGTTTTGGGCACACGTAAGGCCCAACATGTCTTGGTGGCTTTCACCTGCCGTCACCAGTAGCGAACAGAAAACTCGTCTACTTCGAAGGGCCTACCGGCGGTCCTGTTGTCGTTGTTTAGTGCATGATCAATCACTTTCAACTTGAAAGCACCCGTGTAGCTTCCGTACTGCACCATAACGTAACAAGGTTACAGACACAACATACAAATCGTGCCGCAACGCGCACTTGCCACTTTGGCTTAGCTTGGATCGGATTAGATTGAATTTTGGTGCAATATAATAGTATGCACTATGCTAAGTAGATGGCGCCAGGCGGCGCACGCGATCATCAGTGGCTGGAACAAGCAGATGATATTATTGCCGTAAATTGTGGGGGTGCGATAACTACTCAAGGAAAAAAAGAAATCGTATTATTTTTGGGAGTGCGAGAATTATGCGAGTGCGAGGATTACACGAGTAAACACTGTACATTTATTGACAAATCACAGGACATTTTTCATTATTTGAAGTAATTGGTTATGCGTGTCTGCACACGTTTGCCTTGCAACGTGTCAATCAATTCTGCACGCAGCTTGCAAAGTAAATCTACTTCGGCTTCAGCATTCTCCTAGCAAGAGAAGTTGCGCGCGGCAATGTCCAGCGCCGACACTCTAAAAACGACGACAACAACGACTGCATCTTCGCGCTACTACCCTCTGCGCCAAATCCGCAGCGGGGTCAGCACATGACGTGAAAGGAGGAGCGTCTCTATGCGGAGAGAAGCAGATTGGCATTTGAAAGAGAACAAACACTCCACAGAAACTTTTTTTTTTCTTGCTCTCTTTGCGTGCCTTGTTGAAAGGAGGAGGGTTACGTGGCAGGGACGGGAAAGGGCGAAGCATGGCACCGGTGCGTAGCAGATTGGCATTTGAGAGAGGGAAAACATTCCACCGCAGCCTTTTTTTCGCGCGCAGGGTTGAGGTGTCGGAGTTGCCGCCACGGGATTGGGCGGGGTGCTCAGAGCATTTTTGGAGCGCAGTGTGTTCGAACTAACTGTTGCAAGTGCTTGCGCGTTCGAATTACCGGGCGTTTTCGCCCACTGGAATACACATAGCTTTGACGGGACCTCATCGTGAGTTCTAATTAACTGGAAGTTCGTATGAAGTGTGTTCGAAATAATGAGACTCGACTGTATTATTGTGCCTTGTCCAGCTGGAATTTTGGTTTTCATGTCCCCAATCAGACTTGGGGAGCTACCTCTAGGGTTCTTTGAATTTGCTTTTCTTTGTGAGATTTTATGCTTAGTTGCACCTCGGAAAAAGCCTTTTGAACATCCTGTACTTTTTTCTGCTAAAGCATGCTGGCTCTGCTACCGAACAGCTGCATTTGTTTTTTGGGGCGCCCCACTGTTGCTACCTCGTTTCACAATTCTGCACAGGCCTATGTATTTTATTTGATTAATGTGATCGGGATTTATTCACAAAACTTGTCATTAGTTACCACCACTTGTCAGCCGTGCTGCAATGCTTGAAAACTTGGTGATTGTTTCAGACTGTTCTGTTAGCGTAGGTTGTGAGTAACTAAGTTTAAATGTAGAGCTGATAGAGCCACCGGTGCTAACACCGGTATATTTGGTGAGGCACCTATGATGGTTAATGCGTATCATAGATGAGCAGATTGATCGATGCCCGACGTTCGTGATAGCTGTTAAAACTGTACGTTAAGTGTTTGTTTAAGGCTTGTACTTTGAGTCTTTCTCTTACTGGACACAAGTTCACCCAATCACATTTCACCTTGACTGACGGCATCCTGCTCGCTTCACCATCATGACAATGTGATAATATTGTGGTTCTGTTTCGTAAAATGAGTAAAGGATTTGTTTGACAAGGCCCTGTAGACATACCTCTCAGCCTAACACATTTCGTTCTGTAGGTAGTGGGCACATCATGCTTTTATTTTGTTGCACGTAGGTCCCTGCTGACCTTGGCCAAGTGGCTGCAGGCGGAGCCGCCAACGGTCGAGCCGCTGCTCAGGGATGGACCGCGCAACGGCCACGTTGACGGCTTGGCGTCCGCCTTCTCGTACGGCTTCTCGCCGTCCGGCCATCAGCGCAAGTGCTCCGCGCCCCCTCCGCAGCTGCAGCCCCTGGACGGCCTGCTCAGCAGCTCGGAGTTGTCCATAGGGTCCTTGCTGAGGCACAGCCTGTCCCTGTGCCCGACCTTGCCCAAGGCGTGGGCCACCTATGCAGGCTGGTGCTACCGCTGGGGTCGCAAGGTCATCGATGCACCCAGGTTGGTCTCTCAATTCTGTCATGCTTCATGGGGCATTGTAGAAACTTGTACATACATTTCCGTTTCATACAACATTCTGGTGTTAGCATTTTTAAGAACATTATGAAGAGAAACTGCGCAACGGTTTTGTGATCTCTAATTGTGTGCTTTTTCAGGTTTATTATGTGCTTTTTTAGGTTTTTTTTCTGGCATTTCTTGAATAGCATACGAACAAGGTTAAACTGTGTTTGCTCATACCTACTTATGGTGAAGTCAGTTCAACGCAAAGGTAACCTTGTTACGTCCCAGGAATCATTATAAACGTGTATTTCTGAAACTGTTGTAATGATAACACTATGCGTAATTTATTTCATTGTAACCGGTCATTTGGTGCATACGTGCTTTAGGTTCAGCCATATTTAGGTTCAGCCATATTTGTTTTGTTAGTCAAAGCTAGTTGAGGATCAAATGCGCAGCAGGGGATTCTGGATAGGCAAAACTCACCGAATTGCTGGATATATTGAATGATGGTATTGTACAACATTAGGCACGATTGCTGCCTAATGGCACAGTTCGAACCTTGGGCAAATTGGGACCCATATCTCTGAGCTATGGCTACTACAGAGGCACCTCCGACAAAGGCACCACACCCCTTTGGCCCCGGCTTCATGTAGACGGCACCCCTGGGCTGCCCCACCCAGGGGAAATCGGCAGTCGCCTTTTTATATCTCTCTCTACCTATATTATCTTTGTCTCTCACTTTTTATCTGTCCTGTCATCTTCTCTTTTTCGTTTAGTTCCTAATTTCCTGGCAGTGAGGGTTAACCCTTTGTAGTTATCCAACCTTGGGTAGATATATTTGGTTATAGCGGCGATGCATGGTTGGAGTCTCCAAGTGTTTACTATTCAATAGCCTTGTTGGGTCCCCTTGTTGGGATCGGTGGTGGGTGTCCATCATCGCCACCGAATATTACATTTCCTGTATGGCACATTTTTTTCCCGCACTCCCTGATCGCCACTCGAAAAGGTGGCGCACAGAAGAAAGCATAACACTCCTGAAACCAAAGCAGTTGTTCCCAAAGTACCATGTCGCATGCACAGCCAAGAAGAAAACAAAACAGTCTGATCAATCTTACCTTTCTTCGTTTCGAAAACGCTCACAGAAGCCATTGGCCCAGGCTGCTTTGTAAACAAGTTGGGAAGCGGCGACTTCCTCTTGGAAGTACACAAGCTACAATATAACCTATCTAAACTTGTATAACCTATCTAAACTTGTAGCATTCCGAGACTTCCCAGTCTGAAGTCTCAGTAGGCCCACACAGGTCTATGAATACAGTGCGCCGTGTGGTGTCTGATGATGACCTCCTCCACCTATCTGAAAGTGAATTATTAGAAGGCTGGCTAGGCCAGAATGTAGTGAAGGTTCAAAGAATAGTCATACGACAAGACAAGAAACTCCAACAAAACACATAATTATCACATTTGGTATCAGCGATGGACCCGATTCAATTGAAACCGGCTACTGCAAGCTTTGAGTCGGGCCCTACATACCAAATCTTTGCAGGTGTTTCAAATGTCAGCGCTTTCGACGCTGATCGCGAAGCTTGAGAGGGCGTGCAACTTGCGCAAATTGTAGCTCCGACGAACACTTATCGGAAGAATGTACTGGAGCAGCCCACTGTGTGAACTGCGAAGGAGACCATCCCGCCTACTCGCAATTGTGCCCATCCTGGAAAAAAGAAAAACAAATCCTCGAGCTTAAAGTTAAATTCAGTCTATTCCTTCAAAAAGCACGCAAACGGTTTGCACTTCATCAGTCCATTCCCTCCTTTGCAGATGTGGCGCGCCGGGGCGCTGTGCCGCACGTTTCCGCGGTCGCAAGTGTCACACAGAGTGTGAACAAGGTCGCACCGTCAGCGCTTGCGGTTGGAGCAGCCTGTACTGCTCCGCCACCTGACAAACGGGGCCAGCAGACTTCAGTGTCTGCAAGATTCCGGGCCACTGCAAGCGCAGTTAGGCCCGAAACTACTGCGAATGTGCCTGCTGGGCAGGCACCATCCACCACCTCGCAGGAGGTGATGGATACAAGTCCCTTTCCTCTGGCCCCTCAGGGGTTGAAGGATAGGCGCAACTCTTTGAAGTGTGCAAAAAAAAAAAAACCCCTAATTACAGGACCCCCAAAATGCCCTGTAAGCTAAGGCAATACTTTTGTACACACAGCACCACACAACAATAAAACGACACACATACTACAGTGGAACGTCAGAGGACTGCCGAGAAACCTCGACAATATACAAGAACTTCTACACAAACATACGCCAAATGTAATGTGTGTGCAAGAAACACACTTACAATCCAAGCACACAGCCTTCCTACGCAGTTACACTATTTTTCGAGAGGATCATACTGTCGCATCATCTGGTGGTGTTACCATTGTAGTTGATCAAGAAACAGCTTGTGCACATTTACCGCTTCAAACACCCTTTGAGGGGGTGGCCATCCGTGCTGTCCTCTTCAACAAACTGGTCACAATCACCAACTCGATAAACAGGAATACCAGTCATTCATAAATCAACTTCCGGAACCCTATGTTGTCCTCGGGGACTTGTATGCACATGATAGCCTCTGTGGCGACTCTCGGTCCGATGCGTGAGGTCGCCTGATTGAACAGTTCCTTTTTTCTTCCGGTGCCTGCTTCCTGAATTGCAAAAAGCCAACATATTACAATATTGTTAACAGCACCTACTCGTAAATAGACCTCAGCATAATATCTCCATCACTCCTACCTTTATTTAAATGGGAAGTCATCAATAATCAATATGGTAGTGACCATTGTTCTATAGTTCTCAGCACATCAATATCAAATGCATGTCCTTCACAGGTTCCCAAATGGCTCACCGATATAGCCGATTAGGAACAGTTTCAAAAAATTACTCTCTCAACTTGGACTGACATGGGGGTGTTAAGCATAGAAGCTGTTGTGAGCTACTTGAAAGCTTTTTTGATTGATGCTGCAATGAAATGTATACCGCAAACATGCAGGCGGTCCGGCAAATGACAATTCTCATGGTGGGATAATGAGTGCCGTAATGCGCGCAAGAAACAAAATAAGGCATGGAAGTTGCTGAGAGATTCACCGACGTCGGAGAATCTTATACACTTTAAGAACATTAGGTCGCAAGGCAGGAGAATGTGCCAAGAGGCAAGAAGGTAAAGTTGGCACAAATTTTTATTGGGAATCTATTCATATGCATATGAGGCGAGAGTATGGAACATGGTTGGTAAGGTGGCAGGACGACAAGCACACTCACTTCCCCTAGTGAACACACAAGAGGAGAGTTTGGAATACCGGGCGAACACTCTTGGGGCGCATTTTGAACAGGTCTGTAGCCCATCCCATTACTGTCCAGCATTAACGATACAAAGCAAGAATAGAAAAACAGAAAATAGAACGCAAATCCACTGACAATGAGGCATACAATGAACATTTCGTTTTAGCTGAGCTACAAGTATCTGCTTTCGAAAAACTGCTTTCGAAGTCTGCTTTCGAAAAACGGTATTGTTGAGTTGTATGTCACATAAACTACCTACTCTGTAAATATCAGCACCTAATTCAACCCCAAAATGCAAAAAGAAAAAAAAAGAAAATGCTATTTTCGAGGTCGCCGCAGCACCCAAACCACGCGCAAAAGCCAAAATCAAACCAGACTTCGCGCGCGCGCTATATTCCGAGACCATGCGGCCGTCCTGTACCATCTTTGTCTAGTTTCGACCCTGAATTCTTTCTTTATCATTTGCCGCCTTTCAAAATGGCATAAACGGCACGCTTGAGATGCTATCGGCGTTTCCCCAAGATGCGATGCGGAGGGCTGATTGGCTAGAGCAGCTCATTCATATCTCGCGGGCGAAAGCGCGCCCGCCATTGGCTGCTGCGCTGAAAGAGGGGGCGGTCCCTCCCGGCGATGGCACGTCCGGCGCTCTCGTCTCGCTGTTGCATTTCTGCTCCGGCCGCCTCGATAGACGTTTGATTATGAGCCGCTTTTTGCCTTGCTCTCTATTTTTGATCAGTTTCTCTTTTTTCTCTCGTACAAGTTTTGTGCTCCTTATCTTTGTTGCTGTGCATGATGCCGGCAACGAAGTCGAAGATGTTGCGCTAGTTCGGAGCATGGAAATGTGTTATGCGGCGTCTACGAGAATAGAAATTCTGCTTTTCTGCTGCAAGTGCCCAGTGCGTAGATGCTTGCGACGGCGAAACTGTGCTGTCAGCTGCTACCAGTCCGCAATCTGACAAACCGTGTGTACCTGGAGCCGCGATGCATCGAGCATGTCTGAGATTGCCGGATTCAGCACGTGCTCTGAATCTGTGCCGTCGAGCGTGACACCGAGTGTTGCCAAGATCACCAGACACAGCACTTCGTCTGCATCGGGGCCAGTAGCGTGCATGGGCCATCGATCCTTCATGTGCAGAGGCATTTCCTAACTAAGGAAGAAATCAATGCGATTGCGAGACGTCGAGACGCCGTTCGCTCTGAACTCGAATCTACGTCAGTAACACAAAAAATTTTGAACTGATGCTCTCGGCTTTTAAAAAAGATGCCCTACGTCTGAAAAAAAAAGTTTTAAGAAAACTCCTAACGGGTTTTAGAGAAGATGGAGGGAGGACAAAAGAGGAAAAGAGTGTACAAGGACATTTCAAGCTACTCTGCCAAAGCTTTTTGAGGAAAACGCATGTGCTGAACTTTCAAAGCCTTTTTTCTCAAAATAGATATTTTAGCTTGTTGTGGTGCTGAGGAAAGAAATTTTTTAAGAACTGCTCATCACATTTGCCATGTGTCGTTTCTTTTATTCTGCTCCTGGATGATTTTGCAAGGGTGTAACAAGCTTCCTTTTTTGAAAATCTGTGCCATTTTTAAATAATAAACAATTAGTTTTTGATAAATGTCATACCTACTGGCTACATCAAATTCAAAGTTGCATAAAATTTTTTTGGAGGTGAAATCGAAAAAATACTGCTCTTTAGC